TTGTGATTCCACTATGAATGAGTATAATGAGTATAAAATATTTTTTAAATTCTATTCTAATACGGTTATTATTCAAATATAAAATTGATTATTTACTGGTAGTTAAATCAAATACAATTAAATCATTTAAATAAATTCCTTTGTAATTTTGACCGCCAAATATATACATGGAGGTTCCAATTACAGTTGCCGAATGGCCGTGACGTTGTGTAAGAAAAGGCTTTTCAGGAATTGAAAGTTTTGACCACTGGTTTGTAACTGTAAATAAATATATTAGCAACAAAAAAAAAAAACTATATTTGTTTGTTTTTTATAAAGAATATTTGCGATTTGATATTTTTACCAGTATTGAGTATGTAGATAAAATCGTCAGAACTTTCTGTAGGATATTTAAGCAATCCACCAAAAACTGTATATTCAAACATTTCACTTAATATGCATTTACTAATAATCTAATTTTAAAGGTACTAGTCGTGGATACCTATCATGTTGTGCCCGAGATTAACATGTGTGTGTCTACTCCGTGGATACGGTATATCTCCTGATGTTATAAGCTTATATGCATGTAATTTATCTGGAAATTATTATTATTTGAATCAAATACCCATACATCTAGATTGGTTTAAAATTTAGACCCCTAAAGACAAAATTTTTATCACATACCCGTTTCCATTACAAAAACGTCATTTTGTGCTTTTCCTTCAACAATCCCACCGAAAATGAATACTTTATTATTAATTACATATTCATTTGATGAATGTTCATAACGTGGAAAAGGATTGCATTCTCCAAGTTCATCAATTTGAGTCCATGGATAAATTGGACCGGTTGGTTTTAATTTTGATTTTGACATCAAGCTCATGGTGTAATGGACGGAGTTAGTTAAATAAAAATTGAAAATTTTTAATGTGGCACATTTCTCATTATTCTCATTAAACCAAAAATATATAATTGGCTAGTAAGTTCGCCTAAAAAGATAATTTTTCAACTAACACTTACATTTATGCTCGGAAATGAATCATATTTGGTTAGGGTCGACTGAAAGCCTTATTTGAAGCATCACATGAATAATAGCGTTATGCATTGCATCTCTATACATAATACAGTAATATATAGTGTAATAGTGCAGACACCCGTCAAATGATCGACGCAATTAATGACTTCTAGGTTTATTTAATGATAAAAAAAGTTGCCGGTTTAATTTCTGGGTATCATTTTGCAAATTCTCTAGCATTCGAAAGTTCTTATTATGAAAGTTTAAGGGTGGTCAAAAATAAAATGGCAATAATGTAGGCCCCGAAGTTTGCCAATTTTTTACGATTTTTATAAGTGATGTATATTATTGGGGCGTATCCTAACCGATCAGTCAATTTACGTAATGCAGATGATATACGTAGTGATGATCACTAATTAAAATACGTAACTATAACCTGTGCTTTGCACATGCTGTAATTTTATTTTTTGATAATAATGAATAGAAATTACTACCTAAGATAGGTTAGAAGAACTTTAGTGATACCAAATTTCGCAAGAAAAACTTTTTGTTAGTGCGCAGAAGGTGGTTTCATAGAGTTTTGATTTTTTGCGTTTCTTCTGCGTCACACCTGATCTTGAAATCTGATTGGCCAGTGAAATTTTTTAGGTTGGAACGCTAGGACAGTTTTGTACACGGGTACTAATTAAGGGGAATTTGCGTACATCGGTTTCGTGTAACATCACGTACATCAATTTTTGGCCGATTTTTGAGGTGAAGTTACAAGAAACCGATATACACAAATCATTTCCCATTAATTAATTGATTTACAAATTTGTGTAACATAAATTTTAAGTCAAAAATTAACCCCGATTTAATAGGTTAGTTTTAGGGTTAGAAAAGGTTATAATTTATGCAAGGAATCTTTTTTGTTAAAACCCGGAAGCATGTTTTATCAAAATTTTGAGATATTAACTAGCCAATATCTTTCTTATCTAGTACCACGTATCGAAATTATAATTGGGCTTGGTTGTATATTGAAGTCGGTGATTTGATTAATTGGTTAATGTTGCGTAAGCTGTGAAATTAAATTAATTTTCGCATAATTTGGCAAAATTGTTGTAAAGTTAGTATTATGATAAAAAAATAGATATTTAAATACAGGTCTGACTATTAATGATTATCTTGTATGGAATTTATTTTTTTAAAGAGTGAGACTGGCTTTTGTTTTTATTAAATAATTATGCGTTTTATTACAAAGAATGGGTACATATATTATCACAGGGACTTTATATGGAATTTAGTTATAAAACTGTATGATAATTATAAATCTTCATTGTATTTATTGGTCGATTTTATTAGTTGAGAATTTTTGTTAAAAATTTTTGTTGAAGTGTATTAATGTTGGTAGAATGGTTGTTATGACTTATTTGATAATTTAGTTGGGTGAATTGGCAGTTTAAAAAGGTTTCGAAAGTCATGTGATATTTGCAAGTCATCATGATTATGATATGTTATTAATAATAATATTTAGTAAAATATTTATTGATCTAGTAAGCGATTTTTTTTTGTTCGATTTTTTAAAATGAAAAGCGATGGTTGCAATTGTGAGAAACGCAATAAGTCTTTTAAAAGTATAAAATCCAATAAAGACAATATTATAAAATTATATATTAAGCGTGTAACTAAATTTTTAGTAATAATAAATGAAAAAGAAGAAAAATCGAAATTAAATTATAAACGCTAATCAAGAAAATTTATTGTATATACTAGAAAAGTTTGTAGATTTTATTTTTAATGATTTTCTAGAAGATTAGAAGATTATAATTTGATTATTTATTGAGTAAAAGGTTTTTATTATTGTAAATTTAGGGCTTAAAAAAAAATTATTGAAAAAAGTATAATGAATCTAAATAGTAACAAAAGGCTCAATAGTATTAATAAAAATTTTGAGTAATTGTATAAATTGGAGGATTATAATGATTTTAAAAAGCAATGAAATTTTGAATAATAACCGTATTAGAATAGAATTTAAAAAATATTTTATACTCATTATACTCATTCATAGTGGAATCACAA